AAATAAATATGAAGGTTAATTAAATTAGAAAACATGAGATAAAGCTCTCCTTTTTTAATTTAATTGGCACATTTTTAATTGAATTTATTTATTGGTCCATTTATATATTTCTGCTTTATTTTCTAGTTATGTCAGTGTCAGTCCCCCATACTGCAGAACTTGGAGAGGTAATTCAATGTCTGAATCAGGTGTGTTGGAGCAGGAAAAACATAAAACCTGTAGGGCTGCGGCCCTCGAGGACCAGGATTGCCCACCCCTGATCTAAACATTAAAAAAAAAATCTGAGAACCCATGTCTTTGTGCATGCTGTGATGTCATCACTTCCCTCAAAACCTCATTTGGTCGCATTCAAAGACAAATTAGAAGTTGATTTCTTACAAAGCTCCACTTTATTTTTCAGTTACTAAAAACTACCATTTGCATGTGTTGTAACAGTATCTAAATAGTTTCCATAGACATTAAGGCTGAAATGCTTGAGTCATCAACATAAATAAAAATGAACAAACAATTCTGTTAACTTTCATAATCCAAAGCTGGAGCCAAAATGTCCTCTTTTAAGAGCATACCGTGTTATTTTTACCTAAACACCCTATTTTATGGGTATAATTTTGCTGCAGAATAATACTAAATTGGGCCATCAACATTAATGTMGATGGATGAAGCATCTCTATTTTCTTCTGTTGTTGAAATTGCCATTTTTATGCTACCTTGTATTTTTGAAGCTAGCGTCTGCCTATTAGGGACTTGGGGATGTACGGTCGATATAAACATCCCTCCCAACATACCCTTACGATTCAGTAACAGGCTGTCACACTGGCTGTATAACATGACACTTGTTTAAAGCCTCAAATAACTAACTGAAATGAAATGTACTTAAAAATGCACAAGTGAACAGCTGCAAGGTAAGAAMTTTGTGAAAAACAAAAATAAACACCTCAAAAACAAGTTGAAGGGTATCTGTTTGTCAGGAAAAAAGTCTAAGCATGAGGTTCTTACTGTGTAGGAGGAGTTTGTCAAAGACATGATTGGTCTGTTGAACTTTTGTGGGAGGAGTCAGAAAAAGCCGTAACGATTTGGTTGGATGAAAGKTGGGCAGCTGAAGGGACGTGTTACTCAGCCAAAACGACCAGAAAGCCCCCGTAACTTTAAATACAAATGTTAAATTTCATCATAACTCAAAACAAGAAGGTAATAGCTGTTGCAAATTTAAGTCAATAAATTATATGTTCACAATAATTTACCATTACTTCATCTTTTAACTTGCCCCACAACACAAGTCAACCAGACTAATCACAGTTTTGCCGATCTCTGCCCACACCGAAGAACAAGCCCTACCCGCACTGAGGAACTCCACCAACCATGGTTAGGACAAACTTCACCCACACAGCCAAGAAAACTCCCCCCATGCACTGTTGAGACCGCTACTTGCATTTGTTWACATGGAGGGGGTGGACTTTAAAACTACTGCAGCTAGGCTACAAGAAGGCACTGGTCCTTTAAGGCTTCAACTTCCTGCTACTAGTCCTGCCTCTACTTTTAATACATCTTGATGGACTAAAGCAAATCATTTGTAAGAGAGTTTGACAGATGAGTTTAACTGGGGCAAATGTTGATCTTTACAAATCAGAGATGTCACAGACAACAACTCAGTACAATCTCTAACAATGTGGCAACAAGCTGAAAATAAAACAAAGCTTTTTGGCTTCAGATATGTAAAATGATGCACTCTTAGCTTGCACGAATGGAAAATACAGTCAACAATAACATTTAAACCAGMGGAGCCCAAAGCGTGTCCCATGGGCCAATATTGGCCYGCCAAGTCATTTGATTTGGYCCACCAACAGTTGCCAAAGTTACAAGGTTGTATAGCCTGTTATCCTATGTAGAAACAGTATTTCCATTGGTCAAATTACTATATAAAATGGCTGTAGTGAAGGTAGTTTTCATTCATGGTGCTGACTTTATCTTTGATTTATTAGGATTAAACATGAAACATGAAATGACAACAAGAAATATTTAGATCAGATTTAACCCCACATGTAGATCTGCACACTTTATGAGGCCACAAAATCTCATATTTTATCAATTTATGAAATGTCCCATGAGCCTTTGCTACTTGAGTGTATGGCAGACTTTATTCAAGTGTACAGACTAAAACAAAAGAGGCCCATCGCATAGTTTAATCGTTAAAAAAATAAAGGACTTTACTTAAAAAGTATTTGTATTTCATGTACTGCATTTGGCCCGCAGCCCTGGATAGATTTTCATTTTGACCCTCTTGGGGAAAATGTTTGGGCACCCCTGGTTTGAACCATTCTATTTAATAATTAATTTAATCCCATGCAGATCTTCAAATTACTTAATTCAAAGGAATGCAAATCTAAAGCCTTTAAAATCCTTTTAAAAATAACAACAGACTGTTTTTGCACAGATTTTCTTAGAAGTGCACCAGTGCAACTTTAAACTTTTACTAAGAAAAACAAATAACACTTTAAAGACACTATAGGAAGGCAGCATGGTGAATGATAAGAAGTTATTATCGTAAAAYATAGTGTGAGTATCAGGAGGGAGCTGAATACAGCAGAAGTAAATAGAGAGTGTTTTTATTCAGAATATGTGTTAGGTAGGTGTGGCTGATTCTTTTATCTGCTTCACAAACTCCACAAACATTTTCTTCCTCCTCTTCTTCTTGCATAATCACATCTACTGTGTGAATCCATGCAGAAGATGTGATAGTTTGCTTTTACAGATGATTAAGCCCTGTCAAAATATAACTGTGTCAACAATGAATACCAAACAGGGCCCTGCCGACTTTACAGTATATTTTATTTTTTGCCTAAATTGTCAAATGTGAAAACTGCTGAGGAGGGGAGAAAAAAAAACTAGATTTTTCTTTCTCTTTCCCTCCGCTGCCGTCTCGACAGAGCTGCTGTCCCTTTGGGCAGAAAGGGGAGGGAGGGGTGGGTGGCGGGAAGGCGGTGAAGAGGAGAAACAGTGACCGAAATAGAAAGAAAGGTGACCACTGATTGTCCCGCTGCAGCGTTCATCTCTGTCGCTTATCAAAAACAAGATCGTAAGCAGTTACACTCCTCACCTTATCCTGCGGGGTCACCTATGTGACAGAGAGAGATAAGARCAAATTCACATCCGTCGGGCTTGGAGCAACGTAGTCACCGCTTTTAGTTTTGATTCAATTTGATGAACTATAATCACACTTGACCTTAAGTGGCAGTAAATAACGAGACAGGAGAAAACAATGCAAATCATTCCTGGACTGATTTCTCTGTTTTTAAGAAAAGAACTAAATAATTAAGACGCCCTGGATTGTAAAGCACATCTTTTTGAAGTGAAGTTCAGTAGAAAGGTCACAAAGKATTAATATAATATGTTGTGTGCATATGTGTCTGGCTGTGTGTGTGTGGGTGTGTGTGTTTTGTGTATATTACTTAGCGAGGTTGTAATTATTGTACGTATGTGTGGATGTGTAAATGTATATCTATGTGTATGTGTGTGTGCATATGTATATATATATATGTCTATGTGTATATGTGTGTATGTATACTGTATATATGTCTATGTGTATATGTGTGTATGTATATACATGTGTGTATGGGTATATGTACATACATATGTTTATGTTTGGTTGCTGGGTGTTCATGTTCATTCTCTGATGTCAGGTGTGTTGTCTTGTGTTCTTGGTGTACATTTCACAAGTCGAATTTCTATCAGTTTCTCTCTTTACAGTTCTTACATGTCTCTTCTTCTTTTTCCTCTTTACCATAGTATAAAAAGGTCACTGATGATGAAGAAATTAAGAAACTAACATTCAGTTCTGTTTTCTACTGAAGTGGCTAAAAAAGGAAGAAAAAAATAAAAAATATATATTAATATGTTGTAGATAGTTGAACAACCTYAGTTTAGAGATGAAATGTTTATTCCTAAGTGGACTAATGAATTATTTGTCTGAACTGCTGATGTATTAATAAAAGGGAATAGGCCAGACTGTGGGGACACAGGTAGTTTACAACAAATAGATAGAAGTTTTTTTTATGTGAAGTTTGCATGTTCTCTCCATCATCCTAAAAACAGAAATGTTACGTTAAGTGGTAACTAATTAGTCACTGRATAAGAATGTTTAAAAAAGTATATTTTGCTCAAGTTTATCCATCAATTAATGACTGGTTGCCAAATCTTATAAAATGTTTTTTTTTTTCTTGGTTAGGCAAGATAAAACTAATTTTCTCCAATTGAAATTCATTTCCAAATTCTTTCAGCCACATTTAAAAAATAGGGTGTTTATCAAACTTCCAACAGAAAAGTATCACCTTTCTAGCAACGAATATAAACCCATGATAAAACCTGCCCTTCTTTATTGTCCCTTGCCCAGTCCGGTTCAGTCCACAAATAATGCTGTAAGCGGGGTACATGGGACCTCAATTA